TTTTAAAGTTAACTAATCTTTTAATGACTTTCTTGTGTCTGCTTTTTGTTGGAAAGCATTTGAATGTTTGGTTGCAGCATTTATTAATAAAAATAGAAGGATTATGAAAAAAAATTGGATTCAGTCAAAAGGCCGCACTTAAGGACCTAGAAGGCCACATGTGGCCTCAAGGCAGCAGGTTTCCCACCCCTGATTTAGATGAACAAACCAAAGTCGATATGTGTCATGACATGTCTTCGTGTCTTGATTTGTGAGCCTTATTTTAAAATAATACGAAATGAAAGCGCGATGGGGAGGTAGTAGTTCTTCGTCTGTGTGCCTGCTTTTTTTTTTTTAATTTCCGATGCTACTGAACAGATGCTGATACATTTAGTTAAAAGTGGTCAAGAGAGTTTCCTTTTTGTGAGAATTAGTTTATTTTTGGCCCTATCCTACTTTACAAGTAGCTAAAATCGATCATTAGCTTCCCAGATACTGCTCATGTTCAAAATTTAGTATAGGCCAAAATTAACAACAACAAAAGAGTAAATAAACAACCGGACTCGTAGATCGAACAGGGACAAGCCTGAAAACTAGCCACAGTTGGGACTTTCCACGTTATATTAGTTAAGGTTCATGCTCGTATGCTGGAGAACAAAGTATAGTAGGAATTAAAAATTAAAGTCCTTTAATACGGCGATCTGATTCTATGTGTGCTATTCACTATTAACAGAATTTCCTTGTTTGTCGGATTTTTCCAGAAATATTCATTGAATGATCAGTTTCTTTATGAACGTGCTGTACCAGGACAGAGAATGCTTTAGGCGGGGTGTGGGGTGAGGTAGAGGTCCAGTGTTTGGTACGAGGGTTCTGTTCACTTATCTCCAGAAGTCATCAAGATTGTCTGGCCCTTAAATGTAGCAAACATGAGCACTTTTAGGTTGAGTGGCTGCAGTGATAGAGGAATGTTCTGCCCGCAGGAGAAGTTGGACGTCTTTACGCCATTAAGATCTTTGCTCTCGGTCATTAGGCCCTAATCAGTATCTAAAAGTCAGAAGCTAGACAGTGACACTGGAATGTCTTCATTTCAGAAATATTCACAACACAAGTGTTTCTCAAATTGCTGTCCTTTTCGCGACTAGATTTTAATGCATATTTCTAGTTTCCCAGTTAAGCCGTAAGAGGGTGTGTTGCTCAGTATTCAGCTCGTCTCTTAAACGTGACAGTAGCGAAATTCGGATTTCTTTTTTTTTTGCCTTGTATATTCTTGAGTCCTTCCGCGAAGCTTGCCGAAAGAACGTGTGGATAGGCCACGGCCGTTCTTAACCAGGCCCTTTTTAATTCCAAACAATCAAATAATTAATTTTTAAGGCGGCAGAACTTATAATTCAGCCGTCAAAACAGTCACGTGTTTGCAAGTAACCGGGGGGTTTATCATCCTACTCTCGAAAGTCGATTATTGGACACTCGTTCTGCGCAGCTTTAACCCACCTCCACACACTGTTTAGTTAAGATCTATTTTAATGTTATCCTCCTACCACATTCCTTAATTTACACCTTACGTTTTGGTTTCCTGACTAAAACTTTACATTCGTTTCTCTCGTTTTATACGTGCTATATGTCCAGCCCATCGTCTTCTTTGAGTAACGCCATAATAACTCATCTCGTCTAACGCCATATGAAGAGAAAATTGTTAAGTTCATTATGTAATTGTCTCTAATCCCAGGATTAATGACTGTCTTCTCATGTTCAAATATTCTCCTCAGTGTTTCAGTCTCAAAAACCCTCGATCCGTGGAATATGCGAAGGAGTTTCATACCAGTACAAAACACCAGGTAAAATCAGTGTTGAGCATTTAAAAGCTTTATCCTTTTAGACACTTCACGGACAGATTAATATTATGAGCTGAGGTTAGCAAGCATCTCGAAATTGAATCCGCCTCCGGTGCTATAATCAATATTCTGTTCATTAACTCTGCTGCAAAAATTCTGCAGTGAATACAGCGTCGTTAAAAGATGAGGTTATCTCTGAGGAAATTCCTGGGATTATGACGTAACGTGGTTCGTCCAGGACACACATCCTGCCTACCAGAAAGGAAGTCTTTTTGTATCGTGTTGTTATGATTCATTAAAGGATGTTGACAGACTTTGAGTGAAGGATGTTACAGGCTTCATACAGCCTTGACTTTAACAGAAGAATAAATCAGCCGCAACGTGAAGCTATTTTGTGTTCGGGAGGAGACGGCTATCGTTAGTGAGAATTTTGTTTTTTCTCAGTTCCTCCAACCAAATGTCTGTGTTATACCTTAAGTGAGTGGTATCTCCGGGATCACGACCCAAAATTGGGCCGCCAAATGCCTCAGTAAAGTCTCAAGAGAGGTTGAAATATTGTTTTGAAAGTTACCTTGGAGTGAGTGGGCTGAGTTTGAAGAAGGAAATATCGCAGCCCTGTGGCCACATCTGTTAACGAAATATGTAAGCCAAGCGAGGGGTGCGAACAGGGAAGATCAGAGGCGAGTAGAACGGAAGACGAAGTTCCGAAATTCGCTTCAGCCAGAACATGACCTGCGATGTATCCCGTCTTTTACTAAACCACACTTTGAAAAATGCTTCGAATCAAATACAAAGCTAAAATTCACACTAAAATGTTGGCCTATTAGTATTTTTGGTTACTTATTTGTACTTAATAACTTTTTATATATTATATTTTACTTAGCTGATCAGTAGGTAAAACAAATGTTAAATGTGTTGCATTTGTTCTTAGGAAAGGAACGAAGTTTCATTGTCTGGTAATTGTCACTTTTAAAGTGCTTAGTATTTTTATTTAACGGTTAAATGGTCTTTCGGTTTTATACGAGGCGCGTCCCAAAAGTAAGTTTCCCACTCGTCCTACCGCTAGCAAACCTTATATTGAGCGAAGCGACTGTGCGTACGTGATAGAGCAATGACGTAGCATGGCGCATGCACTAACGGCACTTCCCGCGTTCTCACAGTAGCATCGTTGCAGCTGTTGAAGATGGAGGTTCTTATTCCAGCTCCCGCCGACTGTGAAGTGCGGTCAGTGATAACGCTAGGCCGCACACGGCTCGACGGACAGCAAGTCTCCTGCAGGAGTTCAGCTGGGAGGTGTTTGATCATTCACCCTACAGCCCAGATCTCGCTCCCAGTGATTTCCATCATTTCCTACACCTCAAGAAATTCCTGTCCGGTCAGCGTCAGCGTTTTGAGAATGACAGAGAGGCGGAGATGGTTGTCACACAGTGGTTCCAATCCCAGGCGGCAGACTTCTACGACACAGGTATTCAAAAGTTGGTCCCACGGTATGACCAATGCCTCAATTCCGGTGGCGAATATGTTGAAAAATAGCTGGACACTTGCTGTATCTGTTGCAATAAATATTTCCATGAAATTGTGTTTTGTTTCTGTAAACGGCCCCAGGGAAACTTACTTTGTGGACGAGCCTCGTACCTAATGACCTACTCACTTTTATTCTGTAAATTTAATTTCGATTGAATCTATAACATGAGTCACGGATGAAAAGGTTTAAGAATCGCTGCCTTAATTTATGCCACAGAAACTTGTTTCCACATCGGCGTTCGGCTTTCGTCATGTCCACTCCGAAGTCAGAGGAAGCGAATCGTAATAATATCTTTTGTATTTATTTCTCAGTTTTCAGTTTCTCGCGTCCCGGGGATAACCACTTGCTTCCTTCGGGTTGTTCGAAAAAATGCATTACGAAATACGGAAACCAAAATTTTTACCCCAAAGATAGTGTGAACCAAAGAGTAGAACAGAACAGTTAATTGAGATTACGGAATACATGACATTAGTCTATTCTTTAAGCCCCCCCGAAGACATTATCCACGGCTCACGAAGAGCACATGATCCACATGTCTAATGTGGAATGAAACATCTTACGTTCTTCCCAGAATTTTTTGTTATGGTGTAAATCTTCTGGTTCCATAAAAGCAAGCAATTTCTTGACGAACCGAATTCCAGTCTCAGAAATAATTTGTCATTTAGTTGTGAAATCTGAGTTTTCGTCTGTAAAATTTATTTTGTTATGACTTATTGTTCAGTCTGACATGGTCATTAGTTTTAAACCCTGGATCTTTATATTATAATATACAGGCTCACGTTGCTTTATATTGTATTATAATTTATTTTTGAATGTAGCGATTGTCATATACGACACCGTTTCCAGGAAGGAACGTAACATTTTCTGCACAAAAACATTACAAGTTCAGTCAAAATTTTAGTTCTAATTATAGCCGATTAATTAGTTAGGTACAACAGGAAATAAATCCTTAGCTAATCACCAGGTCTGGGGTTCTCCCAGGTTCCTTTACAGATGATATGTTAGGGATTAATCGGCCAAGATTAATACCTCTAGTGCTGGGTTAAAAATTTGTGGAAATCTACATCTAGTCCCGGAATCGGTAATTCATAATTCCATTCTTTGGAAGTGTAGTTTAGCGTTCTCCTGTCTTGTGTGAATGGGCGTACGAGACGGCATGTTTTCGTGATGTGCTTAAACAGAATAAATGAGTCACGTATGAAGTTTACAAGGGATTCACAAGTATGCTGTATTGTTGCATACTCTCGCCTCCATCTAGATGTTGAGAGAGAGGAAAAGGTTTTTTTTTAGTCGTGTGATACGTGAATGTATGGTGGACCGTCAAATGTGGTCGGACAATTTTTGTTGAAACCAGGCGACAGGATTGAATTACTTGCACGACAACCAGGAAAATATTTATGAATAATTTGTTTGAGTATTCTCAATTGATTTTTGTTTTTAATTATTGGTTAGCACTACTTTTGTTTGCGTTTCCATTCTTCTTCTGTTCCGCGATCAGCGCTTAGCGGCCACGCGTCGAACTTGCTCAAGTTCGGATTTGCCCGGCACACTTCGTCTTTGCCGAACCGGCTGCCATTACCGCGGTTCGCGCGGCGAGGGGAAGGAACCATCAACATCAAAGCGGCACGCTGATTGGTCGGCAGAGAGTCACGTCCGACGGCGCCCAGACTGCAAAGCGCGGGCCGGCAAAACGAGCCTCAGTCAGTCAAGTACACAGTGGGATGGCCGGTCGCGACGGTCAGGGTGTTGATGCTGTTTTTACAGCAGTTATACAGTGATTGCGGAACACTGCTTTCTTTACCCTTCCCCCTAGTGCTGCCCCGAAAACACACGGGGTAGGGGAAAGTCAGTGCTTTATTTTTAAACAAGAGTGATTTTTTAAAATGCCGCATGTAAGCAGCGGGGGTGGGGGAGACGATTTAGGGAGCACCGATGAGGTTAAAGTTTTCAAAGATGAAGGTGAAGATGAGAAGAGGTCGTCTGAAAACTTAACCGAAGAGAAAAGTAGCTTGATAGACCTTACAGAATCTGAGGTACGTAGATTGGAGTGCTGTGTAGTGCAATTTACCTCATGGTGACGTATTAGTGCCGTGTGTCGTCAGGTTAATGAGCATGTTTGTGTTTGTACGTGTGGTGGGATGGACAACGCGTGTTAAGGCGAAAGAAATAATGAGAGGGTTATTTCTTATAGGCCTACAAGAGACATCCATAAGGGTGAACATGTGTGAGATGTGTTCATTTGTTTTTCAGGAAAAGAGCGGATCGTTACCCGGACAGAGCTATACCTCCAGCAAGAACGCATCGCGATCAGATCACAGCCCTGTTTTTGGTGAGTACAGATACGTGAAAGTATTCGTATATATGACGTCTGTTCGGGCCTCGTGCCGTATTTATTGTGTGCGACGAGGCAGGCTGGCAAGATGGTGGGTAAGCAGAGAAGAAGGGGGGTTTTTGAAGGTCGCTGGCAGGGCCTTCTTAACAAAGCAACGGCAGGCAGCGCGCTCGGTGAAAGGCTATGTATAACGAGCTGGGCGACTTGGCGACGTTGCCCTGCGATACGGACAGGATGAAAACATTTGTTCGTTGTGGGTGGATTTTGTAAGCGGGCTCGGAGGCTAGTGCTGTGATCGCTGAACGGCCTAGTCTTTGCCGACAGATTGGACTCGTAGCTAGCGGTGGTTTGGGCCTTGTTCCGTTTTTGTTTAATAAGAGATTTATTGGGATCTCAGCACCAGTTTAAAGTAGAGCCTGTGCCGAAAACAATGGCAGTGATGATGACAAGCGCAAATCTTTTGAAAGGAACGTGTTGGCAATGCGATGTGCGGGATTTTGTTATAATCTTTGACAAAAATTATTTAAATTCTTTTATTTGTTTTCGAAACACGAGGAACACTTGTCAATTATTTACCGTTATTTTAATTGTTTTTCCACCACGTTTAATGCATAATCGTGGAGGTACCGTTTCGTACCGATCAAAGATATTCCCAACAATAATAACAGTCATTCATGAAAACAAATTTATCAAGGAGAGATTGAATTCACAGTACGTTTAAACTAGACATTATGGAGAAGTGTATTTTCTTATTAACTGATTACTATCTGAAAACATTAGCCGATTATGTTGGAATGTAAAAGTAACGGATGCCTGATTCCGTTTTATGTGAATAGTGTATTATAAATTGCGTTGTTCTTCGAACGGGTACATCACGAAAGTTTAATGGTTTTGTCGCTTTCCGAGAACAGTAATAACAAAAAAGTGTAAAATCACAGCAAGTCAGTGATTCCTTGGTCATGTGTCTTTGTTGATTACATGGTTTCTAAAATTTATCTTGAATTATCATCATTTTTTAGCACACTTTTGTAATCAAGTAGTGATATTTCTAATTGATTGAAGTCGCGTACAAATGCTTACGTTTTGTACTGATTATTTGGACCTCACCCCGCGTCAACTGCCTCCATGGACGAGTCCTTCTTGCAGCTAATAATTATCCGGTCAAGAAATCCGCGTTGTTCATAGCCTTCTTCTCAACAGCCCGGCCACAGGATACTCTCTGAGTCCCGGTGTTCAGTTTTCCGCAGAGTAGGTCGCTCTGAATAAATCTAACCCATAGTAATGTGTAATATTTCCTACGTGCACTTTTCTACAACCCCCCAAACCGTATTAATTTCACCGTTTATGTAGCCAGGAAACATACGCGGCGAACTGGAAACAATGGGGGGGATCGAAACAGCGTGTCAATACGCGAGCAAACATTTTTAAAATGCGATACCAAAAATGAAATGTTGCCATTTTTATATTTCATTGTCGTGTTCGCGTTACATGAGACTACAACAGAATTTCACGTAGGAAATGTTTTGGAATTATTTGTAAGATGTTTTATTCTTTCTTTCCGCTCGTTTAGTAAGCAAACAGGGGGTGGGGGGCTTGAACAAGGGGGCCTAGCTTTGACAACCGTAATTATTGAAGGTAGTTGCAGCTTTGGCTGATGCCTGGCAATAAATAACCTTAGAGAGAAGGAAGATAATAAAAAGAGTGTGGAGATAAAACAGACATGGTTTATGATTGAGGGCCCCCTTTCCTTTGTAGCCTCTTTGTCCCTGACAGCAAGAGAGAGAAGGGGGAAAGTTTTTGGATTGCTTTATCCCCCCCCCCGGCCCCCCTGAGTTTAAGGATAACCAAAATGTCCAAATCCTTTAGAGCTGTAATGACGTATTTAATATGAAATTATTGTTGACTCGAATAAAATTCCTTACCGTATTATTTTAAGTAAGTTTGTGAACCTCGTGGCGTCCGATTTTTTTTTCGTAGCCGAACGTGTTTGCCATTTACCATTGTAACCTAATACTGTCTAGAATGAAGGAAACGTAATAATTGTCTCAATAAAGGAACTTTTTTAAAAAAAAGAATCTTGTGTTATGAAGATTCTGTTCATTGTTTTATCAATGCAATAAAGAGATATTGAACACGTAACTTTCAAAGAGGTCTTCTTCCTTTTTTATGCCTAAAATTAACTGGCATTTTCTGTAAAGCAACAATGGCTTTGTGTACGAGATGTCAATTACGTAGTTTAACAGTTAACAATAACACAGTAAAATGACTGTATTTTTTAGCTGGCGATTCTACATATTCGTATTTTAATTTTCGTGGCTTATGAAAGTAATTAATTATTTTGTTTCCACTTCCGCTCTGAAATGACATTGCGCAGTTTCAGACTAATGCAGTTAAATGAACAGTGAAGTATGGAATAATTGCAAAGTTACTGCCCTTAACGTGTCGCCTGTGTTTTTATCACTTTTTTAAATCGTGCCACAAATTGAAGAGGGGCATATGTAACCGTTTTTGCTAGTGACGTAATCGTACAACTTATAATTTTTTTACCTGCGTGCATCTGAGAATGTGATACATTTTAATAGTTTCATTTTCTGCTTGGTCAGAAGCTGTACGAATAATTTATGCCTGATTAAGAATTTCCAATAATTCGTAGCCATCGGTTGTGGAACGTACGATTAAAATTTAAGTTCGCTTGAAACGTAAGTTTAAACAATTTATCTATTTTATGAAATGAATAGAATTTGAGATTTGACACTAGACGAGGACGATTTTGGAAGATAGAGAAGGTTATTTGCGTGTTAACTTTGTCGTAAATTATAACCTACAATGTTCTGGTTTCACGCAAAAAACTTAAAAGTTGAGAAGCTCAGAATGTATTTTTATAGTCTGTGCCGACGGGATAGGAGGTCAAAGGACTCGTTCACACAGAATAAGTAAGTTAATTGTACTCATTAACTTACTTTTATTACGTGGCAGAGATTACAGCAGGATTATTTAATTTATGGTGGAGCTTCTAATCAGTTTAAACAAAAATGTATTTCTTTGTAACGATGACGTCATGAGTTTTGGAGTCTTGTAGACTCGTAGATGCCGGCGTTTCGGAGAAACATACTCTCTCCATCTTCAGGGAACCTAGACGATTAAGACTCTATTTCGAAACCCAGAAGAACATTCTCACCGACTTGAAAACTAAAGGGTCTCGTATTTTTTTTTGTATATTTTCACAAATCTAACGTGGTAATGGTGTTGAACTTTGTACTAGACGTGTAGTTAATTACGTTAAACGTGGGTGGTTGAATTATTGCCTGTCAAGGACTTTACTGTTTACAATGCATGGTTTTTTCGTTGAGTGTACAAATTGGCGCGATAATTTTTTTGTGTTGGGACGTTCGTTACAGTTGGTATTCCTGCGTTCCGACACGATCCCTTTTAATATTGTGACGATTAACTTTTAGTGCAACAAATTAACTGTTTCACGTGTATAAATGTTAATAATTTAATAAGGGGATGTACTGAGTATAATGTGTGGACCAACGTACGATACTTAACGGTAGTTTCTTGTGGAGACCGAAGTTTCTGGCCGCGTCTGATTGGGCAGTTTGTGCCCGCGACCATAACCAGACCGGTTCTGAGGCTCATCAAACTCCCTCTCTGCTTGTTAGGGCGATGAATGGGTCTGCGACGTGAAACTGACTATTTAAGTCATTGACAATGAATGTCGAGGCTTATGACGGACTTTGGTACAGAGTGATGTTACGTTTCGTAAGTTTGAGACGTAAAACCTGCGTTTAATTGTGACAGGGTTGATTGGGCAACCAATGATGCAGAAATAGACTAAATTTATCCGACAGTTGTCAAATAACTAACTTTGGGGGGTGGGGGGGGGGGGCAAGTGTTTGAATGTGTGCTCCTTAGTCAGGGCAATTGCACACCTCGTGGGACGGTGACAGATGAACTAATCATCTACTCTTGTTTCTTCCAAGTGAACTTTTTCCTTGAGGTTTACAGTGATTTTGTGTCGTTTCCAGTGTTCGTTAGCCCTCGTGGCGAGTGGGCGAATGTGTTATTGAGATTTGCCCACGACATTGAAGTCTAATACCAAATTGAGGTCTGTTTGGAACTTTAAGAAACACGATTTCACATTCCATAATCCTGTTGGGCTGTAAACTGAACTGTATTTTTCCACAAAAAATGCTGGAAATAAATTGTGTTGAACAGATAAACATTTATAACCACATATTTTTTTTCAAATATTTTTTTATAATTTTTTTGAGGGGGGTAGCAATCGCTTTCATAAATGAAATAACTTTTTATTATTTGATTCAGTCAGTTCTTACGTGAATTTATCCGGGGAGGGGGCTGTTAATTTTGGTATTTATCTGTAATTTTTTTGTCATTACGTAAACGTAATCTCGTGACAGTTTTTATAGGAAGAGAACACAGACAAATATTAGAGCCGCGATTATCAAATTTTAGTTTACCTGTAGCTACATTCACTTTTTATGTTTATTCACGGGCCACAAGGTTTATAAATATGGACAATTTATTGAAACGTCGTGGAAGTTTTTTTAAATGCTATTAATTAAGCCTGACTTATTGCCAGTAATATTCCTTCATTAGTCTGATATTTCACACTGTTTTTGCTTGAGTCATTTTTCAAGATCGTAGAATTTCTGTTCGCTTCGCTTGCATTCCACCATGTGTTCAGGTAAGACGTGGCCTAGTCACTGATTTGATGTTCTTCATCAAGCTAAACGGTTGCTAACAGCAACAACTGCTACCAGATACTGCCATTACCAACCAAGACCTCTTAGAATCGTATAAGGCCCGCACAGAACAAGTCGGCATGCCACAGGTTGAGAACCCATCCTAAATGAACACAGTAACAAATTCACGTGTTAAATTATTTTATCATTTGTTCAGGAACTTGGTTGGTTTGATAAAACTTTGTTTTGTTCGTAACTCGAATATCTGTAACAGTTATGGCTAAATATTGG